GCTGGCTCCGGTTCGGCCCGGGGCTGGTTCCGTTTCGGTCCGGGACGTCTCGTGTGCGGTCGAGCGCTCTATTTGGCCGCCGTCGCCGCGTGCTGGATGCGGGCCGGAAACCGCGTGGGGCGGAGTGCGCGGGAGAGACGCCGCGGCTGAGAGGAGGACGCCGGGAGCGTGGAGCCCTGAGTGGACGGTGGTGTGAGGAAGACGCACGCGCAGCCAGGGAGCGAGCGGGCGCGCGTGCGTGCGTGTGTGAGTGAGAGAGAGACCCTAGATGGTTTTGTGAGTGTGCAAGCCCCTAAATGTGAGGGGGACTGTGTGTGAAAGAGAAAACTGCGAGGCAGAGAGTGTAACGGTGACCCTGTGTGCGTGACGGAAAAATCCCAGAGTGTGAGGAGGAAAACTGTGGGCGTGAGGGCGCCTCGAGAGTGTGCGGCACTGAATGTGAGAGGGACTGGCTCCTTCGCAGTCCGTGGCCGTGTGAGGGATTCCCCTGGAGCAGAGACTGCGAGGGAGAAGCTGTTGTGCGGGAGCCCGCGAGTGTGAGGAGGGCAGAGACAGCTGGGCGGTGTGCGAATGCCGGAATGCAGCTTCTTGGCGCTGTTGAAACCTCTGACTCGTGTTGGGACTCAGAGTGCTGAGGGATTGGCGTTCGGGAACACGGTGCTCTGGCCGGGGCGCTTCTGAGTCTCTCGAGTTTGTCATCTCCTTTGACCATCTCATGTCACAAATGTCCAGAAATATTTGTGAAACATTCTGAAAATTCTGTGCTGAGCACTAAGTCCAAAGGCTTGTCCGCGTGTTGTGTAATGGGCCAGTATAAATAGAAATCAGCATCTAATTTAACAAGTCTCGGGGAAACCAGTCGTAAACACGGGGCTTACGTGTGGGAAAGAATTCCGCCTTTGCTGTAAATGAGGGGGAAACCTCAGGCTTGGGCTGCTGACCTAACCCGCTGTGTAGCAGGATGCTCAGCTGTTTGGCGCCTGATTTCTGAGAGCTGCTCCCGGATTTGAAGACTTAGCAGGAGCAGACTTGAAGCTGTTGCTTTCTGAGGTCGTTTTTTTTTTTTTTTTTTTTTTTACCTGGTGAGGCCCTTCAGGAAGCTGCCCAGGCTTCGTACTTCGTTAAGGCTCCATTGTGGTTTCATACAGATGGCTTTTGCTTCCCGCCTTTGGTCGTAGGCTGTTTCCTTGAGTTATATTTGGTTTTCCTTCCTCGGCAAATGTAAAGAAAAGTCACAACCCTAATGGGGATATAGGACCTCAGACAGTACTTGCATACTATATGTAAATCTTTGGGTTTCATCCCTAGCTCCTTCTCAAACGAGAGAAAAAGAAAAACAGGAAGACCGACAAAGACAGAAAACCTTGAGAACCTGATTTTTTTTCCTTCACCCTCTTCCTTTATCTGGATTTTTTTTTTTAATGTGACTGATCTTGGAGTATCTCGATAGAGGAATTTTCTGACTTATGCATTCTTGCTGTAATCTCTAGAATGTGGAGATGTTTCTACAACAATTATGTACATGATGCTCTTAGGACCTGGGACTCTGGAGCAATAGATCCCTAGTGACTTGAGATGACCAGGGTAGTCTCTGACACCAAATTTCTGCTGATCGTGTCTGTCATACCCTCTATGTGATAGAGGAAATAAGGGACGTGTAAAATTTAGATTTTACAAGAGGAAATATTCTGATGCTTTCTGTAAGTTATTATTTTTTGATAAGTAACTAAGAACTGATTCTTTGTTACAGAGATTGAATGACCAAAACAAAGAAGTGAAATTAACCCTTGCTGTAAGCATTCATTTTCTTCTTGGTACCTGACTGCTGCTTTGTGGTGAAATAACTTAAAAAAAGCTTGGATCCTCACTGATTTCGTGACAGGTGAATATTACTATTCTGTTCTTGGTTTTTCTTTCTCTCTCTCTCTCTCTCTTTTTTTGGTAATCTATGAAAAAGAACCTGTAGTTATTTGCATACTTTGTGATTATGATGCTAATGAAAAGGCTTAAGAGGCCAGCCTGGTCTACAAAGAAGGTTCCAGGACAGCCAGGATGACACAGAGAAACCCTGTCTCCAAAAACAAAACAAAAATCATAGTGTTATAAAACATCATAACACATGTAACTTGTTTTGTAAATGAATTATGTCTTTATGTCTTTTTAATTTTTTTTCAAGACATGGTTTCAGTGTTGCTTAGGCTGGCCTCAAACTGTAAATGAGAGGACTTTTAGCCTCTCAAATGCTGGGATTTTTAGGTCTGAACTACAGTGCCTACGTTTTTGTTTGTTTGTTTTTTGGTTTTAGTGTTGTGGGTTTTGTTTTTTTGTTTTTTTTTTGTTTGTTTTTTTTTTGTTTTTTATTTTTTGAGATAGGGTTTCTCTGTGTTGCCCTGACTATCCTGGACCTCACTCTGTAGAACAGGCTGGCCTCAAACTCACTGAAAACTGCCTGCCTCTGCCTCCTAAATGCTGGGATTAAAGGCATGGTGGCTTGGCAGAACTATGAGTATTTTAGCCATTGTGATTGGAAGGTAAATTATATCTCAGTTACTTGATATTCTTTATAAGACAATAAACATCATTTCATCATTTTTGTTACTTGAAAAAGAGTTACAATAAATATATCTACAACTTTCTTTGTGATTGCATTTTTATATTGATTTACTTTTTTCTCAGAAATTGCATATGATAGTTTTCTTGTTAAATTTTCCTGAAGAAATTTTAGGGATCTATTAAACTCCTTTCCTACCTGCTGCAGGATTCTGGAGAATAGGATGAATCCTGCTAGAAACTGCTGTGTTTTTTCCACTTTTCATATCAGTGCTGGGGATTGAATCCATGGTCTCAAGCCTTAACCCCGTTAAATACACATTCTCCCCATTGAGTCTCACCCTCAGCCCCTGGACGTGTCTTTTGATTTTAGAGATGTCAGCATCTTAGAGATTGAAACTAGTAACTATGTATGATCTATACTGATTTATTTTAACTACTGTATAAAAATTAACAGCAAATCCCAGCACTCGGGAGGCAGAGGCAGGTGGATCTCTGTGAGTTCGAGGCCAGCCTGGTCTACACAATTTTCACACAGGACACACAAAAAAACAACAAAAACCCCCTTTAAAAAAAAAAAAAAAAAAAAAAAAAAAAAAAGAATTGACGGTAATCAACTCAGATAGGTGATTTGGTAGAATTTTGATAACCCACTTCATTTTTTTTATTTTTTATTTTTTTTATTCAAGACAGGGTTTTCCTGTGTAGCTTTGGAGCCTGTCCTGGAACTAGCTCTTCTAGATCAGGTTGGCCTTGAACTCACAGAGATCTGCCTGTCTCTGCCTCTGGAATTAAAGGCATGTGCCACCACTGCCTAGCTGATAGCCTACTTCTAATACCAGGCTTAATATTGGCTTAAGATGGGCCCCTTAAGCCAGCATTTTCCATCCCATTGTTTTCAGAGGTTCTACAGATCTCTGTGAGGAATGGGATAGGTAATACTTGTCACATAGGTATGGGGTCCTTTTTTGGGCATCTATGGTACTGTGGAACTGATTAAATGCAAATGAATTAAAAACTTTTGTCATTATTTATATTCCTTCATCTTTTTGCTTTGTTTTACTTATGTGTGCTTTTTAAATTCCATTTATTTTTTATGTGTATGTGAGTGTGGGCACATCAGAGCCATGGAATGCATTTATAGGTCAGAGGGCAACTTTAGGGAGTTGGCTTTCACCTTCCACCTTGTTGAGGCAAAATCTCTCTTGCTGATTGTTACTGTTAGCTTACTCCAGGCTATCTGGCCCACAAGTTTCCTGCTGGTTTGCCTGTCTCGGCCTCCCCTCTGGCCATCCAGTGCTGGGATTACAGATGTGCATCTGGCCTTTTCATCGGCTCCAGGGATTGAACTTGGTTCATAAGGTTTGTGCAAGTGCTGTTTACTTGCTAAGCCATTTTTCTGGGCTCATAATTATTTAGCACTATTTTATGTGCTTTGGTGTGAAGATGATAGGTCCCCTGGAACTGGAGTTACAGACAGTTGAAAGCTACCATGTGGGTGCTGGAAGTTGAACCCAGGTCCTCTGGAAGAACAGCCAGTGCTCTTAACTGCTGAGCCATCTCTCCAGCTCTCTCTCTGTCTTTTTTTCTCTCTGTCTCTCTCTCTCGCTTTCTGGTTTTTCGAGACAGGGTTTCTCTATAGCTTTGGAGCCTGTCCTGGCACTTGCTCTGTTGACCATACTAGTCTTGAATTAACAGAGATCCACCTGCCTCTGCCTGTCGAGTGCTGGTATTAAAGGCGTGCGCCATCACTACCCAGCTTTTTCTTTCTTTTTTGAAACAGACTTTCATGTAGCCTAGGTTAAAGTCTTGTGTAGCCTAGACTGGCCTTGAACTCTGATACACAGTGGCAGGTAAACTGTTCTGATTATGTTGCCTTAACTTGTTGGGAGCTCCTCAGATTATAGACATGGACATCTGTACTGGCTTTATGTGATACTGGAGAACAAACCAGGGCTTTGTGTGTACTAGGCAAATACTCTATCAGCAGAGCTATATCCCCGCCTGTCTGGGTTCTTTTGTTTTTTTTTTCTCAGTAACTTATTTATGTCTTTATAGTTAGAGTGATTTCCTATAGTTTGCATATTGAGATTTGCTTTGTAGTCAATCTAACACTGTTAACAACATCTTTTACTTGGTGTATTTAGATCATTTATATTAAATATAGTTATATAACTTGCTTAAAGCCCGCTATTTTAGATAGACTTGATGCATGCCTATAGTCCCAGGACTCAGGACTCCTGCAGAGGTGGGAAGATACAAGTTTGAGGCCAGCCTGGTGTATCGACATACGCCATCACACTCAGCTCTCTACTGTTGGCCTATTATTTATACATCTTTAATATTTTTTAATTGTTGCACTAATTTTATAGTGTAAATCTTTTATTACTGGCCTCCAGGGGATAGGGCCATAATTATATGTCTGGCAAGTTCTCTACCACTGAGCTATACTTTAGCCTCATGAGTCTTTAATTACAGTCTACCCTTAAATAAGATATTCCTTCACTATAATGGAAGAACTTTATATAGTATTCTCTCAATTTTTGCCTCCTATTCTTTTGATAGTATTGTCAGGCATTTTTTTTTCCTTTGTGCTATAAACCCACACTACATTACTGCAGTTTTTGCTTCTGGCTTCATTTATAGTCTAAAAAAGTTTAAAATAGTCTCCCTCCCCTTACTTACTTCATACTATTGTCCTACAGCTTTTATATATTTTACCGTTTTATTTTCTGTATTCTGACTCATGATTTTCTACATTTGTTCCTCTACATTGTTGAGTTTAGAGCCTTTTAATCTATTAATCACAATTATTTTAGTCTCGCTTTTTGGTAGGCCTAGGATTGAACTCAGGGTCTGATGCAAGCACCCAGCCACTGAGCTATATTCCCAAACTCACTGTAGTCATTGTATGTGTTGCTTTTTGTGTGCATGTGTGTGTAAGTTAATGGTCACCTTTTGGGTTTTTTGTGAGAGAGAGTATGTTAAATACTGGCTGACCTGGTACTCACAGAGGTCCTCCTGCCTCTACCTCCTGAGTGCTGGCAGGTGCTACTAACCACTATGCCTAACCACGTTATGTTTTTGAGAAAGTACCTCTCATGATTATATAGGAAACACTGAGCTGTTTCAGTACTCCCCATCCCTTCAATTTTTGTTCTTCTTTCTTTCTTTCTTTCTTTCTTTCTTTCTTTCTTTCTCTCTCTCTCTCTCTCTCTCTCTCTCTCTCTCTCTCTCTCTCTGTCTCTCTCTGTCTCTCTATTTATTTTTGGTTCTTTGAGACAGGGTTTCTCTGTGTAGCTTTGGAGCCTGTCTTGGAACTCACTCTGTAGACCAGGCTGCCCTCAAATTCATAGAGGTATGCCTACTCCTGCTTCCTGCGTGCTGGGATTAAAATTGTGCATCACCACTACCGCCTGAAATAAATTTTCTATTTATTTATTTATTTATTTTGGTTTTTTGAGACAGGTTTTCTCCGTGTGACTTTGGAACCTGTCCGGGAACTAGCTCTTGTAGACCAGACTGGCCTAAAACTCACAGAGATCCGCCTGCCTCTGCCTCCCGAGTGCTGGAAATAAAGGTGTGAGCCACCACTTTGTCCTGTCTTAGGTCTCTAAGTAAGTAGCCAGGACCACAAGCAGCTGACTGCATCTGCCCATGCCCTCTCCCCCATCATAGTCATTTTAAACAGACTATTTGATGTTTCTCATCATGTTTATTATCTTGCCTCTTGATTGTGGGTTATTTTTCTTGCTGTTATTTTTCTTTCCTTATTTATAATTTGTTAGTGATTGCCATAACAATCTAACTAGTCTAACATAACATAACTAGTGATTGTTAGTTTATAGAACAGGAGAAATTTATTCTGAAAAATAGGTATGACTCTTTTGCAAGGTTGTTGGTAGAGGAGTTTGAACCAATCATAGAATTGTGTTGGGTTTTGGTGCTGCTATGGTGCCTTGGGTAGCCTTACCTTCACATTCCTCTGGTGTTTCTTTGTACTTGGGGTTGGTTTGCTTTCCTACAGGGAAGACTTTTTCTCAGAGTGTATTTTCTGTTCTCAACTTTAGCCCTTCTCAGTGTACAGTTTGCTATACTCTGGGTATTGTACTGACGTTGCTTTTTTCTGGGTGCAAACTCTTAGTGGGAATGGGAAGCAGGGAGGTTCTTTTCCTGGTGTAGCCTCAATTTCCTTGTGTCTGGGTGGGATTGATCTTTCTGGGTTATTTTGCCTGACACAGAGGTTATACTTCTCAGTGGTTTTTACCAGAATTTCCTGTCCCCTTCTCAAACACAAAAATTTTCTTTCTTTCTTTCTTTTTTTTTTGCTGTTACTTTTTCCTCTTTTGGTTTTTGAGACTGTGTACAAATTATCTTCTAATCTTTCTCAAGAATCTGACCTGATTTTATCACCTCCTCTTCATCTTCAATTTTTTTTATTATGTTTATATTTATTTGTGTATGTGCATAAATGCATGTGTGTAAAGGTCAAAGACAACTTGTGGTAGGTGGTTCTCTCTACCATGTGGGTTGTGGGGGTCAAATTCGGGTCATCAGGCTTGGTGACAGTGACAGTGTCTTTAACCACTGAGCCATCTCTCTGACCCAGGCCTTTATATTTTATTGAGGAGTTTTATGTTGTTTAGTGTAATACTCATAGGTCAGTGAGGCTTTTGGGGAGAACAGCTGAAGGTTAGAGAATGTTGAGGTACAGCTAGCTGGTGAATTCTGGTTTTTGACTGGAATTTCTGATCTCAATTCTTTCTTATTTCCATGCTGCCTTATCATACTGTTGTTTTGTTCTGAGGACATGATCCATGCCCTTGTTGACTCTGTTCACTGCTGTGTCTTTACATGTAATCCTAGCGGATGAGGTGCTTGACTGGTTTCTAGAGGAATGTGAAATGGAGTTAGATTTAGAGGAAAGGTAAGGAATGGCCTTGGGGTTTTGTAGCCAAGCAAGGCAGGAATTTAGCCATCTGTCCTCAGGGAGTTTGCTGTAGTTAGTTCACAGTTTTGCTCTTGTGTTAAAATAAGATAGTGGTTTTAATTACCTTAGCTAAGGACAGGCTCATAGTGATAATTGTATTTGGTTATTGAGTGAAGAAAAGAGCTGTCTTCTTAGCTGAAGGAGAGGAGTCCTTCCTAAACTAATTCAGGTGCTGGGACAGCAATTCTAGGCAAGAGGTTTTCTGGGGCTGTGACTGATTGTAGCACATTCTTCCAGAACAAGCCACTGGAGGGTTTGTCTAGTGTATCAGACCCATTGAATAAAGCCACATCAGACACACTAGTGCCAAACTGTACAAGTACACAAGGGATACCTGGTAACCCTCACTCTCATCTAAGTTCTGATGGACTAGAGGACGCTGGAGTAGCCTTTAGGGCCAGGCTTTTCTGCCTGTTTGTATGCTGACTATCTAGACCCCGGAGGTCTCTGTGTACCTCACTCTTACATGAGCATGGACTCCTGGCTGTTTGCTGGATTTGTTCCCATGGAAACCTGGACTCACTTGACATTCATGTGAAACAAATATGCTTCCACATGCTTGCATAGGGAAACGTGCATAGAGCTTAGTTCCAAGAATGAAGTGTTCTGAAAGTCTGGTCTTATTAAAGCTGAGTTAGCCTGGCTCTACTCTTCTCATGCCCAAGACAAGTTTTTTAACTTGGGCCGAGGTCCAGACTCTCGGAATGACTGGGACAAGTAGAACAAGAGTTTTGAGTGGGGTCTGTGGAGGTATGAATTTTCCCTGTTTCCCAGGATTTTCACACTCAAATGATCTTGGGTTCCTTTGCTTTAAGCCCTGTGAAGCCAGGCTCTGATATAGACATTTTGTTTTATTTTTGTTCTGCCCTTCAGCCCCATGCTTTTTTCTTTCTTTAGGTGAGGGTTACTAAGTAGTAACCTTTGATCTCCCCGCTTCAACCTCCCAAGTACTGGAATTACAGGTGTGAGCCACTGCCACTCTGCCAAGTTTTACATCTTTGTTGGGGAGAGGAGAGGATTTTAGAAAGCTGAAGTATTGATTCTAGTCTTTTTTTATTTTTTAACTTTTATTCTTCTCTTATATATTACATTGACCATTATTTCCCCTCCCTCTATTCCACCCAGTCCCTTTCCCTTAAAAAAAAAGAAAAAAAAAAGCAACCCTACCAGGGATATTCACAAAACATGGCTTAACAAGGTACCATAAAAATGGGCATAAATCCTTTTATCACAGCTAAACATGGCAACCAAGTAGGAAATAAACGATCCCAAGAACAGGCAAAAGAGTCAGAGACACCCCCCACTCCTGTTGTTGGGAGTTCTACAAGTCACTAAGCCACACAACCATAACATGCAGGAGACCTAGCTCAGACCCATACAGGGTCTGTGTTTGTCACTTCAGTCTCTGTGACCCCCTATGAGCCCTGCTTAGTTGATTCTATGGCCTGTGTTCTCCTGTTGTCCTTGAACTCTCTGGCTCCTACAATCCCTCCTGTTCTTCAGGGTTCCCCTGGCTCTGCCTAGTGTTTGCCTGTGGGTCTGCATTTGCTCCCATTGGTTGCTGGACGATGCCTTTCTGACAGTTGGGCTATGCACCTGTCTACGAGTATGATCTATTCTTACCTTTAGAAGTTATCCTGTGACCTTTAAGGAATAGTTCCTGGATGGCAATTTTATGGCCCACTACATTCCTTTTCCCAAAGGTGAGTTAGGACTATTGTTTCTGACCTGTGATTAGCTCAGGAATTAAGGAATGGAGGCCAGCTTGGATAGAGTCAGGAGATTGCCTGTCTTCTTTTGAGATAGCCTTCTTAGATAAGGCAGCAGAATCTACTCTCTTGGGTTGGTCCAAAGGGGACAAATGTGTACACACATGCCATCTCATCATGATGCTTTCCAACGCTGGGTCTGTAACTAAGGAGGCTGTGACTTTGGGTAGGTGACAAGACTCCTAGGAATTGTTTTGGGAGAATCACTTTGTAGCCTAGATGGTGGTAAGGAGCACACTGAAGAGGAAAGTGAATAAGCCAATGGCAAGTTAGCTCCAAGTTAGGGTGCCCCTGAATGTCCCTTTCCCCTTCTCTTTTATAATCTTATAATCTCTTAGATTCTTTCTTTCTTTCTTTCTTTCTTTCTTTCTTTCTTTCTTTCTTTATTATTTATACAATATTCTGTCTGTGTGTATGCCTCCAGGCCAGAAGAGGGCACCAGACCCCATTACAAATGGTTGTGAGCCACCATGTGGTTTCTGGGAATTGTAGATTCTTTTTTTAAAAAGGGTTTATTTATTTTTAATGTACATTGGGGTTTTACCTATATGTTTTCTGTGTGAGGATGTCAGATCCTCTGGAACTGGAGTTACAGACAGTTGTGAGCTGCCATGTGGGTGCTGGGAATTGAACCCGTGTCCTTTGGAAGAGCAGCCAGTGCTGGTAACCACTGAGTCAGCTCTTCAGCCCCATCTCTTGGATTGTTGAGTAAAGAAAGGCATTGGATCAGTAAGCAGTAATGTGGAGAGTAAGGTTACATATGATTCTAAGTGTTTTCAGGAAGGTCTCTGCAATCATGGTTTGCTTTCTTTTTTTGTTTGTTTGTTTGTTTGTTTTGTTTTGGTTTTTGAGACAGGGTTTCTCTGTGTGTAGTCCTGGCTGTCCTGGAATTTACTCTGTAGATCAGGCTGGCCTCGAACTCAGATATCTGCTTGCCTCTGCCACCCTGGTGCTGGGATTAAAGGTATGCACCACCATGTGGAATTTAGACTCTTTCTGAATGCTGGGATTACATTTGTGTGCCACCACACAAAGCTATATTAGTGATGATATACTCTTCTCTTAGCATCTTCTTAACCCTTCCATGTAACTGCAGATCTTCCACATGTGGTTGAATGCCTGTAGAAATGCCTATTTACGGAACTGGAGAGATGATGGCTCTGCACTTAAAGAGCAACAAGTTCACTTCCCAGCACCCACATGACAGTTCACAACTAACTGTCTGTAACTCTAGTTCCAGGGGATCTGATCCGGCATCCTCAGACAGATATACAAAGGCAAAACTTCAATGTACATTACACTTTTAATCCCAGTACTTAGGAGGCAGAGACAGACGGATCTCTGTGAGTTTGAAGCCAGCCTGGTCTACAAGAGCTAGTTCCAGGAAAGAAATTCTGCCTTGAATAAATAAATAAATAAATAAGTAAATCACCTCCAGTTGCTTGTATCTTAAATGAAACTGAGACAAGCCTGTTGTGTTTTGTGTGTTGCATGTTCTACCTAAACAGGTGGTGGGCAGGGAAATCTGCCTGGCAAATGTTGGCTAAGCCAGAGTCACTAGCTCCTGCTCTAGACATGACACCCTTGTTTTCTTTGCCAGGTCACAGTAAACATAGGTGTACAGGAACCATTTATCATGGAAGCCAGGGAACTTGGGAGTCCCACACCCAATTATCATCTTCTCCCCAAGGCCAACCAGCACACTGTAAAAGAAGATGTCAGCTCACCATCTCAAGGGTCTCCAGAGACTATGCAGCTGAAGAAGGAGATCTCCTTGCTGAATGGGGTCAGCCTGGTGGTGGGCAACATGATTGGCTCAGGGATCTTCGTCTCACCCAAGGGTGTTCTAAAATACACTGCTTCCTATGGGTTGTCACTGATTGTGTGGGCCATTGGTGGGCTCTTCTCTGTTGTGGGTGCCCTTTGTTATGCAGAACTGGGAACCACTATCACCAAGTCAGGGGCCAGTTATGCTTATATTCTAGAGGCCTTTGGGGGCTTCATTGCCTTTATCCGTCTGTGGGTCTCACTGCTAATTGTTGAGCCCACCAGTCAGGCCATCATCGCCATCACCTTCGCCAACTATATCATCAAGCCCTCCTTCCCCACCTGTGATCCTCCGTATGTGGCCTGCCGTCTTCTTGCTGCTGCCTGCATATGTAAGTATGGGGGTGAGGCAGGGGACATATGTGGAGGTGTGGGTGCTATATTACTTGTATGATTACTGAAACCTGAATGTCATATTTTGCTCTTTGGGGAGGAGGGAAGGTGTGGGGTCTCATACCTTTTGAAAAAATAATTTCATCACTTATTTGGTTCTGAAAGCTAAGTAAACAAAGGATGGGAATGGGAGAAGTTTGAATCTGTTCATGGTGTTTGGGGCCTTGGGTCTCTCTTATTCTTAGCTGTCCCGTATTTCTTTTCCTTGCTCTATATAACAAGTTGATACATGTCTTGTGTATTTTTTGAGAGGGTCAGATGTTTTGAAAGGTGTCAACATCACTGTTTGTAACTTATCTCAGGGAACAAGTCCGAGCTAAGGCCTTGTTGTGCTCAGCTTTTCTTAGAAACTAGTTTAAAGGCATCAATGAGGAGATAGGCTTTTCTCGATGATGGGGTCCCAAGTACCACAGGACACCCTCTTTCCTGCTACTGCTGCTCTTGGTGGCCTGTTCTAAGCAGTGGGCACCATACCAAATGGCCTTTTCCCATTGGTGTTTCAGATTTCTTTACACTGACTTTGTAAACAACCTCTGCCTGCTGCCATTGAACAGAGTGTGAGAGATTCCAGGGGTCCCTGTTTCTTTTCTTTTAGGGGTGGAGAAAAGGATATTCAGTGTGAAATCATGGAAATGAGAGGAGAATGCTGTGGATTTACCCAGAGCTAGTGCTTTGGCTAGCGTAGAATCTTGTGTTTCTTAACGCTGCGCTGCCAGAAGTACTTAATCATATTCTGTCTTTATCTTCTCTGCTTACGAAAACTTTGTCTGTGTATATAACTTATTGACATTTTTTTTTTTCGCTTGTTTGTTTTTTTAGACAGGGTTTCTCTGTAGCTTTGGAGCCTGTCCTGGAACTAGCTCTTGTAGACCAGGCTGGTCTCGAACTCACAGAGATCCACCTGCCTCTGTTTCCTGAGTGCTGTAATTAAAGGCGTGCATCACCACTGCTCGGGTTGCTTATTAAAATTTTAAAAATAGATCAGCAATACCTTGGAGTTAGCAAAACAAAACAAAGCAAAAAAACAAACATGCCTCCCGACTTGGCTTTGTTAAGGGCAAACAATAACGGTAATCTCTTCATATTCTTTGTAACAGGGGAAATAGATACTCCTGGGAGGAGGAAGAAAGTGGGATTCAGCTGTGTGTCCTTTTTCTTTTTTCAGCCTTCTATCTAACAGGCTTTCACCACAGTTTCTGGACTTGCTTAGATCTTTAAAGGCCAGTTTTAGGCAGGTGTAGTGGCGCACATCTTTAATCTCAGTACTTTGAAGGCAGAGGCAGTCATATTTCTGTGAATTGAGGCTAGCCTGGTCTACACAGTGAGTTCAGGTCAGTCAGGGCTACATAGTGAGACCCTGTCTCAAAGTAACCGGACAAACAAAACAGAAAAACAGACAGTAATTTTATCAACCAAGCTTGGTGGCTGACATCTATATAATCTCCTTACTTGGGAAACAGAGGCAAAGGATTTCCAAGACCAGCTTGTATTTCATATTAAGATACCTAGTGTAATCTCAAGCAAATGACAACAAAAACCAGGACTGGTGAGCTGTCTCAGCAGGTAAGGCACTTAACTGCCAAGGCTGACAGCCTGAATTCAGTCCCTCCCACAGTTGTGCTCTAACCTCCACAAGTGAGAGCACTCTCTCTCGCTCGTGCACGCATGCACATCCCCATACCAAGAATTTATCGTTTGATTGTAGGAGTGGCATCACCTCTTTGAAATATAGACCATGGGGTTTCTGGTGCTTTTTCACTCACAGTGTATTTTTACCCAGATTTCTTAGGACTAATATTATGAGCTCCCTTTCCTAGAAACTCAGACATTTCCAGAATTCAGATCTGAGGGAAGGAATCTGTTAGAAGGAAGGCCAAGTTCGAAAACCATGTTGCATTCTAACCAATGAAGCTTAGGTCATGGACTCAGACTTTAAACAGAGCTTGGATGTGGTAGAAGGGGGACTGTTTGGCATGACACAGAGAACAACATGAGGCCTTAGATAGGTTGGAGAATGAAGTCTGGAAATGAAGACATAGAAAGGTCTACCTTGTTGGTTGAAATTTGAGACATTAGAGGAGTCCACCTTGTTGGGAGATTGCACAAAGGCTAGAGTGGTGGCTCAACCATTGAGAACACTCAGTGCTTACTGTTTGTTCTTCCAGAGGACTTGAGTTCCTTTCCAAGTCTCTCCATCTGGTGGCTCAGTAACTCTAACTCCAAGGGTAACCAGTGCCGCTGGCCTCCACGGCTACCCACACTCAAGTGCACATAACCCTTGTGTAGGCATACATATTTGCATAATTAAATGATAAAAATAAGTATTTTAAAGTTTTATTTAAAAATTTTCAGACGAGGTCTCATTGTGTAACTGACAGCCCTAGAACTCACTATGTGAACCACATGGACCTTGAATTCAAAGAAATCTGCCTGTCTCTGCCTCCCAAGTGTAGGTATTAAAAGCATGTGCCACTACACCTAGCTTTAGGTGTCTTTTTCTTTTTTTGGTTTCTTTGATATAGGGTTTCTCTATGTAACAGTCCTAGCTGTACTGGAACTAGCTCTTGTAGATCAGGCTGGCCTCAAACTCACAGAGATCCACCTCTGCTTCCTGAGTGTTGGGATTAAAGGTGTGCCACTATTGCCCAGTTTAGATATTTTTTTCTTTAAAGGAAGTAATACCTATGCTATGTTAGAATTTTGAATTCAGGAAGTTTTCAGGTGTTCAGTTGTGGGGCCGAGGCTCAAGGACCAGGCTTGGCGTACAGATGGATTTGTTAGGCCTGCACAGTTTTTCATTTATGTATTTATTTGTCTGTTTGTTTTTATAGTCATTCATGCATTTATTTATCTCTTACTCTTGTAGATCAGGGTGGCCTGGAACTTGGTAAATAATTCATGTCTGCCTCAGTCTACTGAGTGCTGAGATTATAGACATGGAACACTGTGCCTGTCTTAATGTTTTATTTATAAATTAAAAGGCTTAGTTGGGCAGTTTAGGGGAAGGGGAGCACAAAACTTTAATCCCAGGACTGGAGGTGGGGAGGGCAGAGGCAGTCGGATCTTTTGAGTTGGAAACTATCTTAGTCTATAGGATGAGTTCCAGGACAGCTGGGACTAAACAGAGAAATCCTGTGTCCCCCTCTCCAATCATTTATTAATAAACAAACAAGTAAGTAAATAAATAGACTCACAATTTCAGTCGCAGGTCAACAGGTTACAAGTGTAATGACCTTCTTACAGGTTCAATCCCAAAACAGCATCGGATTTCACATGGCAAGAGGCAGAGAACACACATATGATTCTGATCTTTTCCTTTCCCTATTTTTATATAAAGCTCTGGCTTTCCCCATTTTTAAAAGTATGTAAAGTGTATATTGGTACAAAATAATGGGTTTCATTATGATGTTTTTAAAATATTTATTTATTATGTATATAGTATTCTGCCTGCATGTATACCTGCACACCAAAAGAGGGCACCAGATCTCATTACAGATGGCTGTGAGCCACCATGTGGTTGCTGGGAGTTAAACTCAGGACCTCTGGAAGAGCAGTCAGTGCTCTTAACCTCTGAGCCATCTCTCCAGCCTTCTCTGCTCATTTTATATCCAGACTCTGTTGCCTTTCCCATTTGTATTGCTTTTTTTTTTTTTTTTTTGAGACAGGGTCTTACTTTGTAGCTCTGACTGGCCTAGAATTCACTATGTAGACCAGGCTGGCCTGAACATCATAGAAATCTGCCTGCCTCTGCCTTTTAGTGCTGGTATTAAAGGTGTATACTTCTTTCTTGGCTATGTATTAATTTTTTTAAAGATTTTTTTTGCCTTTGTATGTATGTGTGTTTGTGTGTGTGTGTAAGTATGCCATGTATGCAGAGCCCACAGAAACCAGAAGAGGGTGTTTGATCCCCTGGAGCCAGTGTACAGGCAGTTGTAAGCTGCTCACCATGCATGTTGAGAACCAAATTCAGGCTCTGTGGAAGGGGAGCAAGCCCTACTGTGCCATCTCTCCAGCCTTCACATTTGTATTGCTTTATTGACCTCTGAAGGTGTGACCCTGAAATTGTTGCAGCCTCATCTACTGCCTTTCCGTCTGCATCCCACTGCATTCTCATGCTACAGTTAGGGAAATCTAAGCAGGTGGTGGTGGTGGTGGTGAGATTTCAGGTTGTCTTATTATCCTAAAGCAGTGGTTCTCAGTGGGAGGTTAGTTTGGCTCAAAGATGTCATTTGGCAGTATCTGGAGACATTTTTGGGATACAATTATTGGGAAGCAGTGCTTCTGTTATCTGTTGGTAGAGGCAAGGAGTGGTGTTGAACATCCTGTCAAACAGGATATAGTCTTACCGGCCCAAATTGTCCGCGGTGCTGCAGAGAGGAAACTATCCTAAAGGTCTGTCGATGGAAATAGGGTCAAAAGAGAGAAGACTTGAGGGTTTGAGTTGTAGCACAAGAGTCTGACTATCTGGCCTCCAGACTCAGCTGGATGGGGCTGGGTGATCTTGGAAGTGTAAGGGGTGTGGGTCTGTGGTGAAATTTTGTTTACTAATTAGAAGCAGGCAAGTAGTCAAGGGACTTGGCTTCTGCTTGGTAGACTTGTGTTCTTTGGCAGGACTGAGAGTATGAGGCAAGCTCGGTGCCTGGGGCCAGCCTCTAAGGATATACTCTCTCTTGGTATTCCTGTGCCTGATTCCTTGAGAGGGAGTGGGGGGCGCTCCTTAAAAAGGCACTTGACTCACTTCATCCCACTGGCCTGCAGTTTCTGGCAAATGTGTTGGTGCTCGTTAACGACTTTTGTTGAGTAAGAAGCATATGTGCTTGGTGAATAAGTGTAAAATACTGCATCATAGTAAAGGCTCCCCTGCTCCAGCTCGTTAGTCTCTTTCTCAGTCAGCTTTACTGACCAGGTGCTTTGTGCCTGTTCAGCTGTTCTTTGGAATGGGTCCTGCAGGACTTCCTGAGACGTGCCTTCACTTATCCTGTGAATACAGTCATCACTCTCCCTCCACTGCAGGCTGTGTTTACTTGTGTATAGAAAGGGCCACACCTGCAGGAAGACTGGAGAAGGCTAGGGGGTGGGGAGGAGCAAGACTGAGACTAGTGCCTGGCACTCGGGCTGAGGTTGTGAAGCATACTCAGTGAGTCCAGCTAGGCTTTTGTGCCTCTTATGGTGTCCAGTTTTAGGTCTCTCTCTTGTTCCCATTTCTTTGTCTCTTGTCTCTGTCTTTTCTGTCTGTGCATTTCCTATTGTTTCAGTCTTTTTCTCACAAGTTCAGGCCTTCTAATTTTGTGTCCCAGCTTTCTTCCTTTGCGTGTGGTTTATGTTCTGCTGTTAGGGTTTCTATGGTCTTTGCCTTGGTGTAGTTCTAGACTCTCAGAGTACCCTGTTGCTATTAGATAGACTCACTCTTTGGCTGTTTTGGGAGGGATAATTTATAAGGCCAGCTTGTCATTGTTTGGCATCTCTGATAAGGAAAGAGAGTAAGTTCTAAGAAGGAGATGGACAAGTACCCCCCAAATGTGCTTATTGTATTAGTGCCTGTGGTTTACTGGTGACTGTTAACTATGTATGTTAACTGATCGAGGCTTAGCCAAAGAGAGAATTTTGATCAACAGTTGATCCCCGTGACGATTTTTCAGTAGCGTGCATTCCTTTGGGGTATCCTTCTCTCAACAACCTAGTTAACCATTGTGTCCCCAATTACATATAATTACTTCATTGTGTGTCCATCTTAAGTGACTGGCATGTCACATGTACTATCTGGCAGCATTTTCTCCACTTGAGACAGGGTTTCTCAGGGTAGCCCTGGCTGTCCCTTGAACTCAGTCTGTAGACCAGGCTGACCTTAGACTCAGAGATCCACCTGCCTCTGCTTTCTGAGTGCTGGGATTAAAGGTGTGTGCCACCAAACCCAGCTATTTTAAAAAAACATTTATTTTTATTTTATGTGTGTGAGTGTTTGCTAGCACAGAAAGGGACATCAGTTCTCCTAAAACTGGAGTTACAGGTGATTGTGAGTCACCAAGTAGGTGCAGGAAATTGAACCCAGGTCCTTTGGAAGAGCCCCTAGTGCTCTTAACCACCAAGCCAACTCTTCAGCCCTATTTAGCAGCATATTAAGTGAAGCTCCTAAGACACCACGGAGGCTATTCTATAACATGGTCATTTTCATAGCTGGTCCTGGACACTGTTCTTTTGAGTGGAGAACTGCCCAAGGGAATTGGCTGTTAGCTTGCCTCCAGCCAGGGTTCATCAGCTCCTTTCTTTGTTGGACAAGAGCTTTAGACACACTATAAGCTTGTTGTCTTTTGAGAGTTTGTGGTCTCTCAGAAAGAAGACTGAGATACCATAGGGAGCGACCTCCTGGAATCAGATGTTCCCAGGACTGTAGCATTTGATACTGAACTGTTGTGAAGTGGGAATGAAGGCACGAGGGATCCTGGGCTGATCTGCCCAGTATATTTGGGAAAGATTTTCAGAGGGAGTAAGGGCTGAGCTAGACCTTGGAAGTAGATGTTAGTGATGGCTGTGGCAAGAGGAGAAACGTTTTGTGTGTGCATCTGGCATAAGTAAGGGAGAGTCCACTTAAAGGAATAAATAGGTGGGAGTATGTGCAAGAGGTTGAAAGAATGGGCTGTAAGACTTTATAAAAAAAGCATTTAATTGGGAGCTTGCTTTCAGAGGAATAGTACATTATCATCATGGTAGGAGCATGGTGGTACTGCACTCATGGTATTGGAACAGTAGTTGAGAGTTACATCCTAATCCATAGGCAGAGAAAGTCTCTGGGCCTGGCTTGAGCTTTTGAAACCTCAAAACCCACCCCAGTGACAATCTTCCTCCAACAAGGCCACATGTCTCAATTCTGGTACTACTCCCTGGTGACTAAGCATTCAAATATATGAGCCTAGGGGTGATGTTTGCATTCAAACTACCACAAGGTATATATTTAGATTTTTGCTTTGTTTTTGTAAGCTTGGGACAGTACTTAGAAGTGTCACTATGTTCCTTCTTGTAGAAGCCCTTGGATAATTATTCTCATGTTCTGCCCTAGATCAAAGCTGTCTTTTATTTTCAGGAACAGAGTTCTCTCTGTGGGTTAAGCCTCAAGCAGGTAGCAGTTCACAGCCATCAGTAATCTACAGGGTTTAGATGTTATTGAGGTACGTTAGCATGGAGCTTAAAGGTAGCCAGGATGACATGAATCTAAGAAGCTCTGAGGAAGGCTCAACTCTCCAAGGGATTCACTGACAATTGGCAGGTTTGCATCGGAATGGGCTCAGGAAGATCATTTGAACTTGCTTAGGAATGCAAGCCTCTCTCAGCCTTAGTTTCCTCATAGATGAGTGCCAGATACCTGCTGCAGGGAGGTTGTTTCAGGTCCCAAAGAGGAGTAAATTAGGATGGCTGCCAGCAGAATTTAATTGAGAAGAAGACTACACCTTTTGTTACCTATAGTTGCACATAATATTAAACAGGAGACAAGGGGCTGGGGTGTGGAGTGAGATCAAGACTTGCGGAGTCTAGCATTGATCTTGACAGTAGGCACCGGTCACGTTAATGGCAGGGTCACAGGAGGCTCTTGCTAGAGATAAGAAGAATGACTACTTTATCCAGTAGGAACTTTTCGTCAAGCTCCAGAGAAAATGGAGACCCTATCTAAGTGCCTGACCTTGGGAAAAGGACTTTTGGGGAGCAGACCGTATACTACAGTTTCTTAGTCTTACTATATGGGTCTGTCCCCTTACAATGCTCCCAGAAGAGAAGGTCATGATGTCTTACTCTTTTTCTTTTATACTTTACAGTTCTGATTTCTCTATATTAACTGAACTTTTCCCCCTTAATGACCTCAGGCTCTCTAAACTGTAGGTAGTTCATCCTTGGGATCAGGTGTGCCTAGTAAATCTCTTAATTTTACTGTTTGATTGTAATTTAGAGGGTACATTGGAATTCCTGGTACCAAGGTGGCAGAGGTTTTTTTTTTTTTTTCCCAAAGAATTATTTTGTTTAGAGAGACTGCCATTATACACATTTTAAACCTTTACCAAAGCTAACACAAAACTTCCCAAAGTGAAAGACATTAATATTGAAAATCATTGAAAATGAATGTAAAAGGTGCTGGAGAAATGTGGTCTGCAATGTCTAAATGCCGAAGCTTTGTCAAGCAGGAGTGGTCACCATGCAGTCCACATCATACAAGTGGGGAACAGACATCTGTATTTGGGGATTTGTCAGAATTGATAGTGAGGATGCCTCTGAAATTGTCAAGTATATAACAGTCACAGGTATAAGACATTAGATGATCATCAATATTCAAATTTACATTATTTGTTAATGCTTTTTTTTTTCTGGAATCTGGCTGGAAAAGAGTGAGTAAAGTGAGGCTAATGAAGTGAGGCCAGCCATTCTTGGTGCTGGGAAACATTCCCAGCTGCTGTTCTGACATTAGAACATATATGTGTTTGTGCATGCCCTTGTATCTTTGGATATAGTGTAGGGCATTCATAGGTGCTGCTCCTCCTGTCTACCTGTTCTAGTTCTCATGGACCCGTTGTTCCTCTAACTTAGGCAGGGAAGGTAGAAAAATGCCTTCTATAGAGAGGTTGGGGTCTGTGCTTGGCTCAAGCCTACCAGTGACACTGTGATTTTCCTTCTAGGTCTGCTGACATTTGTGAACTGTGCCTATGTCAAGTGGGGCACACGAGTACAAGACACATTCACATATGCCAAGGTTGTGGCACTCATTGCCATCATTGTCATGGGCCTTGTTAAACTGTGCCAGGGTAAGAGGGGCTGAGGTGGGAAGAAGGGTAAATGTCTCCTGGAGCCTCTTAAGCTCCCTAGGAGGATGTGGGGCTTAGTTAGCTTCATCTCTTAGCATATACTGAATATATTCTAGAGTATTGTCAGTGAAGTAAGAGGTGGTTATGAATCTCTTCCTGGGCTTTATCAGCCAGGCTTGGCCAACTGGACATATCAAATGCCAGGTTCTCCTCAGGGGTTTCTTTGGAAAAAGCATTGCAGGAAGCTAGCAAAGGTCCTAGGAGTTCTTGAAAGTTGGAGTATAATTGAGTTATTCATATAAGTCATTTAGGGAGATGTTTGTAGTCTGTAATTACCAAGTAGTGAGTGGGAAAACTTGACTCTCCTGGAGGGACCAATAGGGGAAGTCATTTTGTAGTATTTTACTGTTTATCTGTACTTGAATTAAGCATTGTGTTGAAGAATCTTTCAAAGCCAGCTCTTGATAAAATGTCAGAATGTTGTAGAATTGCATTGCTTTACCTATGTTGGCCTTTCTTTTCTCTTTTTCCTTTTTTCTTTTTTTTTAGACAGGGTTTCTCTGTAGCTTTGGAACCTGTCCAGGAAGTAGCTCTTATAGACCAGACTGCCAGACTGGCCTCGAACTCAGATATCCTCTTGCCTCTGCCTCCTGAATGCTGGGATTAAAGGCGTGAGCCACCACTGCCCAGCTGAGACAGGGTTTTTTGTGTAACAGCCTTGGCTGTCCTGGAATTCCCTTTGTAGATCATGCTGGCTTCAAACTCAGAGATTGCCTACCTCTGCCTTCCGAGTGCTAGGATTAAAGGTGTGTGTTACTACCGCCTGGCTCTTTTTAATTTTTTCTTAATTTTTTTCTATGGATATAACCAGGACCTTTTGCATACTGTGTTAACACTCTACTACTCAGCAACATACCTAGTCCTCTTATTTATTTATAAGAAATTAAAAAAAAAAAGACATTAGGGCTGGAGAGATGGTTCAGAGGTTAAGAACATTGGTTGCTCTTCCAGAGGTCCTGAGTTCATTTCCCAGCAACCACATGGTGGCTCACAACCATCTGTAATGAGATCTGGTGCCCTCTTCTGGCATGCGGGCATACATGGAGGCAGAATGTTGTATACATAATAAATAAATAAATCTTTAAAAAAAAAAAAGGAAAAAAGACATTATAAGATAATGTCCTGAAATATATTTTGGGTTGGCCTGTAATTTACTTTACCACATAGCCCAGTGGCCTTGAGTATTTGATTCTCTTGCTGTACCTTTGCCAAGTGCTGGGAAAAGACATGTACTACCATGTCCAGGTATAAAGTTAGCTCTTGAAAGCGTTTCATTTTAGGGTCAGAGGCTAATGGGCTTCCCAGGATATCCTGAAAGGTCTTTTACCAAAGGACATCCTCTGTCCTTAACAGCCAGTTCCCTTTTCTTTATCATTCCCAGACATAGCTATATTTGCAGTCACCTGGGGGGCTGAGCCCGTCATCTCAGACCTATTGATTTGAAATTGAAAATTAAAAAGTTTTTATGTGTGCATGGTCCTGAGGATCAGAGACCCAGGTCTACATGTATAATAGACAAGTGATTCCTCCAGTCCAAAGACATGCTTTTATGAAATGCCCAGGTAGCCCAGGAAATCTGCTGAGCAACTGCAGTCAGGCATCTAGATGTCTTTGAGATCTCAGGAATATCTAGAATAAAATTGGGCTATTGAGTAATTTTTTCCTCCAAAATGTGTGCCTTCGAGAACCACTGCTGTGTGCAGTAACTGATGCCCCTGGAAGCTCTCACTGCACCCCTACATCTTTTGCCACATTGAGATCTGGTATAGGCTTTCTTTTTAATACTTTTTCTTTTTTTTTCTGTCCTCCACCCCACAAGATAGGGTTTTTCTGTTTAACAGTCCTTGACTATCATGAAACTAGTTTTTTAGACAAGTCTGGCCTTGAATTTAGAGATCCACTGACCTCTGCCTCCCAAGTGCTGGGATTAAATCCTAAATCCATGTGCCACCACTGCCTGGCCTTTTTAATATTTTTTTACCTTGTGTGTGCTTGTGTTTATGCCACGTATGGCATAAACATGCTGTGGAGGCTAAAAGAGGGGTCAGATCTCCCTGGAGCTGGAGTTATAAGTGGTCAGCCACTGAGCCTTCTTTCTACCACTAAGTCTAGCCTTTCTGCTGGGGTGATGACAAGCACCATAGAAGGCTTACTCTTGTAAAAACTCCATGCTGTCAGGATGTCTGTCCTGAGCAGCTAGGCGGGCTCTCAAGTCTGCAGTCTTCAGAGGCCTCTAGGGAGGAGGACGGTTGCTTTGGCTTGGGTTGGAGTGCTGAAGGGTGGGGTTGGCCCAGTAAGAGATAAGAAGACCTCAATTACTCTATAGCCTCAGATTCCGTGCCTTTTACCAACCACACCACACCCACTGCAAATAGAGTGATGGAGTCTTCTCCAAGAGGCTGATAAACCCACAAGTCCAAATTGTACATTGATCTGAGCTAAGACCACCTGCTGGAAGGTTATTGTCAGTAGAAATTACTGCTTTGTGTAAAATGACTAGTGAAGTCAAAATAGGAAGAGCTGAGGTCCCTTGCAGGGAATGGAAATTCATTATGGTCTTGGAAGAAGTGTTTCTCAGAGTGCAGCCAGGAATGCTTTTGTTTTCTTGATATCATCTAGTTTTACTAAAGAAAACTTAACCTGAGGGAGTAATTGGGGTGGTGAGGTGCAGAGAGTTTCTGATTGTTGTTGTTTTGGTATTAAATGATGTTTTTTTTTTCTTCCCCTGTCCTGTTTGTTTTTGCCTTTTTCCCCTCTCATTTGTTTCATCTTTTTAATTCTCCCTCTGAATCCTTTATCTTCTCCATGTTCCTCCCCTCTCTTCCTTTCACCTGGTCTCCCACCCACTTCTGCCCCACAGGACACACTGAGCACTTTGAGAATGCCTTTGAGGGTTCCTCGTGGGATGTGGGAAACCTCTCTCTTGCCCTCTACTCTGCCCTCTTCTCTTACTCAGGTTGGGACACCCTTAATTTTGTAACAGAAGAGATCAAAAACCCAGAAAGGTAAAGGCGAGATCACATTCTCCATCTTGGCTGGAACTCCTGCTGATGATGGGCACAATTGCCCTCTTCTCGTACCTCCTCCCTCTGTCTCATCCCCTCTTCCTCTTCCTGCTCCCTTCTCCAGTTAGGAGGCATTGGGGGCTAGGATGGGAGTGAGCGAATGTGGGAAAGCCCTTGGCTCTCACCCTCCTCTTCCACTGGAGAGTACCGAGGGTCCTTCCTCTAGGAGATGTTAGTGGGCAGCAGCAGACCCAGCTAAGGCTGAGGTGGCAGGACTTTGCCCGGTGGTAGTGAGACTGCAGCCTGAGCCTACCAGGTCCCCAGCCTAGTTTCTAGTTCCCAGAGTATATTGCTCCTGCATTTATCCTGAGATCACAGATGCAAGAATGTAATAAAGCCATATGTGACTCATTGAACCTAATCCTGTAGGATAAACTAATCACGTGCCCCCTTTCAGGGAAAGTGCCCAGGAGCATGGGAAGCAGACCTGCCCTAGGGCATGTGGGGGAGAGGAGCCCATCTCAAAGACCTGGCAGCAGTGAACTGTTAAATAAATTGCAGTGGGTGCTGGATGAGTTTTCATTCACAGGGGAAGTTGGTTCTAGGTAGTCCTATTTCACTTGTCCTCACAGAAATTTACCCTTGGCCATTGGGATTTCTATGCCAATTGTGACACTCATCTACATCCTGACAAACGTGGCCTATTATACAGTGCTGAAAATTCAGGATGTCCATGACAGTGATGCTGTGGCTGTGGTGAGTCTCTTGGGGGGGAGGGGGGGCGGGGAGGATCCTCACTTGTCCCTAGCCGTCATTTCCTGAGAATCACATGGTGCTTCGCTCTGGGTGGTCCAGTCCTTTTCTACAGCAACTCCAGCTCTACACTGTGAGGGATTGGTCTGCAGAGGGCAGAGGGTGGACGGTTTAGCAGTGACTGCCTCTGTTCAGAGATCATAGATAGAAGGAGGATTACAAAACTGTCCTGTATTGAGTGTTCCTTCTTTGCTCTGTTTCCAGACATTTGCTGACCAGACATTTGGCATGTTTAGCTGGACCATCCCCATTGCCGTTGCCCTGTCCTGCTTTGGGGGCCTAAATGCATCCATCTTTGCTTCATCAAGGTACTTTGACTTTTCTGATAATAGACTATTCTTAGCATCTGGGTGGCAGCTCACAACCATGTGTAACTCCAGTTACAGGGGCACCTGTTCAAGAGTAGTACTCTTAACTGGGTACTATCGCTCCAACTCCCATGATGGCTTTTAAAGGAAGGACTGTGCAGTCTCAACTGAAACAGGAGGCTCTCAATTTGAATCCAACTAGACCTACATAGAAGACCTTATCTTTTTAAAAAGGCCATTGTGGTAGCTATACATTTGTACTATAGCAGAATCGGTGTACCCCTGGTGGGTTGGATTGGAATGTCATTAGGTGGTGTAAATACATCTGTAGGATGTTGGTGAGGTATCTGGTTCAGAAGTGGGAATGTTGGTGGATGATACTGAGTTTCATTGCTGAAGGCCTGGAGTGGTTAATGGATAATGGTGGGTGAGCATTCCTGGATAGTGGTGAGGTGCTACTAGTTGAAGACATTTATGGGTAATACGAGTATGGGCTGGGTGTATATGAAGTCTGAGAGGCCGTCCCTTGATTTTTTTCTGGGGCTCTGAGACTGCTGCTGCTGATACATTTCATACTCTTACAGGTTGTTTTTCGTGGGCTCACGTGAGGGCCACCTCCCGAACCTTCTGTCCATGATCCATATTGAGCGCTTTACACCTGTGCCAGCTTTATTGTTCAATGTAAGCTTAGCTGGGAGAATGTGGGCTTGGGCAGGTTTATGCAGGATTCCTAATTTACACTATAGGCTTTGTTTCAGGATTTGAAGCACAGTTCATTATCTTTTCTGTAATGTTTGGGATGGAATCCAGAGCCCCATATATGAGTCAGCAATCTACCATTGTCCTAATATGCCGAACCCACTATTTATTTGTTCATTTTCCCCTGCCCCAGATAAGGCCTTCTTAAATAGGCTGAGCTGCTCTTGAGCTTTAGATTAAGTGGTTCTCAACCTGTGGGTCAAGACCCCTTTGGGATATTGAATGACCCTTTCACAGAAGTCACCTAAGACCATCTGCATATTAGATATTTTCATTATGATTCATAACAGTAGCAAAATTACAATTATGGACTAGCAATAAAAATATTATGGTAGAGGGTCACTACAACCTGAAGAACTATATTAAAGGGTCACAGCATTAGTAAGGTAGAGAACCATTGCTTTAGACCTTGCCTCAGCCTCCCTTATAGGCTTCAGAAGGTGCCTGTCCTGGAACTTGCGCTGTAGACCAGGCTGGCTTCAAACTCACAGAGATCCACCTGTCTCTGCCTCCTGAGTGCTGGGATTAAAACATAGGCTACCACTGCCTACCCTGCCAGGTAGTTTGGACCCCAGCCTCAAGAACTCTAGGTTAACAGTCTAATTCCCACTTTGGTTGGAGTGTTGAGGGCCTCCCTGTCCGCCATCAGAAAGGAAGAAGCTACCTTGTTAACCAAAGTGCTTGCAATGGGGGTGGTGGGGTGCTGAGTATAGGTAGAGGTAAAGATGTTGCCTTGAAAGTTAATGTGGATAATGGATCTATCTGATGCCAAGTGAGGGTCACTGAAAACCAGAGCTAATCTGGTAAAGCTGTTTCAGATCTGACAGACTACTGATGGAGTCTCCTGGTATGGCTGAAGTAATCCTCACTCCTCTTCTCCACCACCCACTCCACAGTGCACCATGGCACTCATCTACCTCGTCGTGAAAGACGTTTTCCTGCTCATCAACTACTTCAGCTTCAGCTACTGGTTTTTTGTTGGCTTGTCTGTTGTTGGACAGCTCTACCTTCGCTGGAAAGAGCCTGACTGGCCTCGACCTCTCAAGGTCAGCACCTCCCTTTCTAAAAAGGGGGAGAAAAAAAGATAAGGCCTCTTGTTGTCCAGATTAGCTTTGAAATTATGGAGCCAAGAAGGGCTCAGCAGGCAAAGCTCATGCATACTAGTAGGAATGGGTTCTCTTCTTTAACTGAATTTACTTACTTATTTTTTTATCTATTTAATATATGTTGGGGTTTTGCCTGCTTGTGCGTCTATATGAGGGTGTCAGATCCCTTGGAACTGGAGTTATAGGGAACTATAAGCTGTCATGTGGGTGCTGGGAATTGAATCCAGATACTTTGGAAGAGCAGCAAGTGCTTTTTTCTAGCCGCTGAGCCATCTCTCCAGACCCATTTTTAGGCTGAATTTTCTTTCCTAAAGATGTATTTATTTAGAGTCCCCTTCGTAAAGTACCTTTTGATCAGGCTGTGTTCTTTCATCCCACCCTACTAAATCTCACTTTCCTCTATTTCAGCTGAGCCTCTTTTTTCCCATCGTGTTTTGCATATGCTCCTTGTTTTTGGTGGCCGTACCCCTCTTCAGTGACACCATCAATTCCCTCATTGGCATTGGGATTGCCCTCTCTGGGGTCCCTGTCTACTTCCTGGGTGTTTACCTGCCAGAGTCCCGGAGGCCACTCTTTGTTAGGAATGTTCTGGGTGAGTTGCTTTGCCTCATACTGGCTGTGTGCTTATGCTCAGGTCCGTGCAGAGGCTACCAGCTCTTCCTCCTTACCTAATGGAAGGGGGTGGAACCTGGCTGCCCATCACACCTTTTTTGTGTCTATTCTAGGGTTAAAGCACTATCTGGTTTTTGGTGTTTGGTTTGTTATGTTTGAGACGGGATTTTTGTGTAACCTGGTCTTGAACTCACAGTGTAGCTGAGGATGACTCTGAACTCATCATCCTGCCTTTACCTCTCAAGTACTTTACCTTTATGGGTGTGTACCACCACACCTGGGAAGAAAAGGCTGGGTTTGGAATAGAGAGGTTGGTTGTAAATGACAAAGTCAGGCTTGGTTTGCGTAAGGGATGGGTGGGAAAGAGTCACAGATAAGCTTTCAGCCTTCTGGTATTCAGATTGGAACTGTAGCAAAGTATGTTTGCTAAATCCTGTGCTTCTCATTTTCACTTAGCTACTGTCACCAAAGTAACCCAGAAGCTTTGCTTTTGCGTCTTGACTGAGCTGGATGTAGCAGAAGAGAAAAATGTTGAGAGGAAAACTGACTAGAAGCCAGAGATGACATTCCCTGAAGCCCAGAGACTGTGACCACAGCCACCAAAGACCAGTAACCTAAGCCTTCTGAATTAAATGAACCTCTTGGCCCACATTCTGTAAGGGGGCTCAGGGCCAATGCTCTCTCTTTGGTAAGCTACGGAAAGATACTGATCAGACTAGCCTGAAGATAGGGATTTCAGTGGGAGGGGATGTTGTCTTAGGGGATTGATTTTGTTTCACTTCTTCTGGTGGATAGGTACAGCCTTGTTGGTGCATTGTAGTGGGCAAAGAGGGAATGTTAGGTTGACAGCAATGGCTTATGGTTCACAGCTATTTCTAGTTTAAGCCAGGAGTCTTCATAGTGGGGCTCCTTCATGGGAAGTTTTCCTCTGACCAAGTCCAGCTACTTGATTTTAGAGGCCTGAAATGCTGCCATTTCTTTCTGTGGCCTACAATTCTTCCTTAGGGAAAACATTGTGTTCCCCTTTTTTTGTTGGGTAGCACAAACAGCAAGACTTTATTTAACTGACATGGGATCAATGTGTGCCCCCTTTCCTGAACTCCACAAGAGGAACATCAATCCCTGCCCTGGAACTTCATGTTCAAGCAAAGAATAAGCTTGATGGGAGAAGACTGACTCTTCAGGGTCTGGGCATGGGTCCTCTGTTGGGACTTCTCATTTGTGGGTCACTGTGTACAGAGTGCCCACACATCTCCTTGGGGAGGTGCTGCCTGTCTGATTGACTTTGCTCAGATCATTTTAGCACTGTGGTCAAAATCCTTAAACAAGGAGATGAGCTTCCGGCTCATAAAGAAATTGGCTTGGCCACTTGAATGCCTCTTTCCTAGCTGAAGCCATGGTGCTGTGGAGCCCTTGAAACATGGGCTGAAAGAAAACCTCACTATTCCAGCTGAGTGGGAACATCTCTACTACTACCTGGACAAGTTACTACTGTTACCAAATTCCAACTCCTATATTTCACTATTTATTGATATTTAATCCAGGACACCAATTTTAGCAAACCAATAGTGATTATTTGTCTATAGGATGCAATAATAAATTGTTTGAAAAAAAAAAGTACCTTAGCTGGTGTGGTGGTAGACACCTGTAACCTGAGCACTTGGCATGGTGATGCAGGAAGAGTTTGAACTTGAGGCTAGCTTAGGCTACATAGTAAGTTCCAGGCAGCCACTCTGGGCTAACAGGATCCTGTCTTTTTTTTTAAAAAAAAAAAGTTCAACTTTCAGAGATGTCAATGTGGTAGGTCAAATCTTGACCATGTTTCACATAATCTGTTGGCCATTACTATTATCATTGTTACTATTATGAAGGTGAAGTTAAAGGATTTTTAGGGCTGGACATGGTGGTGAGCACCTGTGATCCTAGCACTCAGTAAGCTGAGACAGGAGTTGCTGAAGTTCACAGCTAGCCTGGGCTACACAGTGAGCCTACAAAGTAAGACCCTGTATCAAGAACAAAAACAAAGGACATTTTAAAACATGTACCTGTTACACTTTAATATATAGATAAGTCACATGTTGCTATCACCTGGCTCAGCTCCAGATGAGCTGTCCTTGCATATTACAGAAGTCTGGTAATACTGTTATTTTGAAGGATAATCCTTTGTTTTATTAAGACTTTTGGCCTTTGTTCTGGTTGATAGAAAGTAAATCTCTGGATCTGTTATAAAGTGTAAGAGGCCTGGAATGTTTTGGAATTCGGGTAAATTACCTGATTCATCAGTTCTCAGTGAACTTGGAGAAACCTCATGGATTCAAGTCATCAAATAGTTTGTTCTCTTTAAGGGCCTGTTGTGAGGTTTGTTGTGTAGACTCATACAAGCCCTTTCTGGTGCTGGAAGTGGTCGCTAACTTTCTGAAAACCACACTGGCATCAGGCTTTGTTCGGAATCATTTTGGGTCATGGACTAGCACACCTGTTTGCCTTCTCTTGTCCAAGAGCTGGTGAGATTAAAATCTGAAAGTATATGGTACTTGTGTATCTTTATTTTCTCCCTGTGAAGATCAGTGAAGACTGCAGGAGAAAACAGCTTCAACCTCAGTCTGGCTCCTGGGGAAGGGTGGAAACAGCTAATTGTGGTGATTGGGTGAGGCTACCAGTTGAGGCCAAAACTATAGACTTGGATCTTTGTGGCTAGTGTGTCTACACTGGATTGCACAACTGTCTTGGGATGCCCTTAGACACTATCATCTTGGACACAGAAGAACCTGCTGTTCTGGAATTCTCTATGGACATTTCTTTTTAAGTTTGGGAATTCGTGAAATCAAATCAAACAGATAACTACTATGAGGCATTCTCAACTTCTGATCCTTTTTATTTACCAAATTGGCCCTAGTTGCAAAGGGGTAACCTTTGCTTGCTCAATATGCTTGCTCAATAAAGACTTAGGTATACATAATTAAAAAAAAAAGACTTAGGGGAGTGTAATCATAGTTGCTTTTGGTTATGGGAATGCATTTGTGAAAGCTTGTGGGTTTTTGCCATAGGTTGGGGATTTGTAGAATAAATTCTGGCCTGGTAAGGTGTTTTATGCAAAGACTGACTTGCTTAAACCATACAAACATGATTCATGTCTGAGCCAAGCTGGCACCCATTCCAAGGCTCTTCTGGAACTAAGTTTTTAAGCAGAGTGTGACCCTGGTTTTAGTGGTCTTTGGCCCTTAAACCAGCTAATCCCAGGAATTTGCTGCCCTCCAGTGGATTCTGAGAGGAGGAACCTCACGCTCAAGATGCTCTAATACTTGCTTAGTGACTGTGATAGCGTTTTTCCCCTTCTGAGCTGAACACAGCTTCTCCCAGGAACCCTTTCTGTGGGAAAGAAGCCAGACTTACTATAGCACTCATGATTCATGGTAGAATTCTTCCCACCAGGTCTTTGTCTCTTTGAATCTACCTCCTGGAGTTCTAATCCCATTTACAGTGAGTAGTACAGTTTGTTTCTTTTGTATTAGGTACAGTCTGTGAAGTTGTTGGCCCTTTAATGTTAGCAAAACCTAATGAACACATATACAGCAGTGAGCACACTATAGTGGCAAACAGGATGTTGGTCTTGCTTGTATGCCTACAGATCAAGATGACTGTTAGAATACTATTGCATATTACTGAATTAATATTATTAAAGAAACACTGAATTGTTCATTAATATTCAGAATAAAATAACTGGGATAATTTTATTAGTTTGATTAGTTGCAATAAACACTTGAGTACACAAATTAGACCAATTTGACCAGTTTAATACCTCCTGTAGGTAGGAACTACCATGTAGGGAGACTCTTATAGATAGACAGTGAAAGAATGAACAGAGAGGCTTATGAACTTGTAAGTAGTGGAAGAAAGCATCTGTGTAATTCATTTTCCCAGGAATCAGCTATCACAGGCTAAGAGGGCATTTGCTGAATTGAATATTCTGAGGGTTACTTCCCTAGACTTATACAGTATCTACTACAGTAACTACTAGCCACATGTAGCTAAGTTAAAACGAAATAAAAATCCAGCCAATTTGATAGCACTTGGAAGACTAAGGCAAGATTGCAAGTTATGGTTTAAAAAAAAAAAAGTGGCAGGGTGGGTGGGTGGTAGTGGCCCCTCTAATCCTAGAACTCCCGAAGCAAATAGATCTTGAGGACAGCCAGGGTAACACTGAGAAACCCTGTCTTGCCCCCCCACACACCAAAAAAAAAAAAACCCAACCAAGCAAAAACCTCCTAATGCTGGTTGTGGTGGCTCACACCTTTAATTCCAGCACCAGGGAGGCAGAGGCAGTTGGCTTTCTTCTGGTTCATTGCCAGCCTGGTCTACACAGTGAGCTCCAGGATAGCCACAGCAAAGAGAGACTGTCTCACCCCTCACCGCCAAACAAAAATTCCTGAGGTTTCTCAGTTGTACCAATCATATTCCAAGTGATCAGGAGAGCCATACAATTGCACAGTGCATCTATAGAACATGCTGTGGAAAGTTGTGGAAGTTCTGTTAGACAATAATACTACATCTGCAGCTGAGATTTAGAAAGTGATAGGAAATGCTTGTAAGAGTTCTGGTAACAAAAGTCTTATTGACAGTGGGTAGATTTTAAAAAAACAGTATTTTGGAAGCTGGGCGGTGGTGGAGCATGCCTTAAATCCCAGCACTTGGGAGGCAGAGGCAGATGTATCTCTGTGAGTTCAAGTAACTTGGTCTACAGAGCTAGTACCAGGACAGGCACAAAAGCTACAGAGAAACCCTTTCTCAAAACAAAACACCAAAAAGCAAAAAACAAACAAAAAAACAAAACAAAAGGTATTTTGGGAAAAATGTGCCTATTCTAACCATGTACATATTTATTCTTGTTCTTCCCCAAAGAGCAGTGGTACAATTTAGATAGTGTTTACATTAGATTTTTATAATCGGAAGGACATAGATTATATATGCAAATACTATGACAATTTATATTAAGGTACTTGAATATATATATATGGTGGATTCTGGCAGTCCTGGAACCAATAGGCCATGGTATACTAAGAGAAAACTGTAACATGTTTTTTCTAAGTGCTGTAAACTGTTAACTTTAGTGTATAAAAATTCTAAAATGTCTTTCTCACTAAACTCTTTTCTGAGGAGAAAACACATAAGATAATCAGGTTAAAAAAGATTTAAAAGAATTGCTTGCTTCTGTGTAAAAAGTTATTTTTTATTAGAGAATATCACATAATACCGTTCCTTAACACCACTACCAAAAGATGACAGCAGTCTTTATGACCATTATAGTCCAAAGGGGGAGAGGGGTTACTTCCCATAGTTCAGGCAGGGGAGGCACTACACTGTTGCCCTTGTAGAGATGACATCCATCAAAGAAAAAGGTAAATTATACTGCTGATGAAATAGCTTCCTCCCTCCAGCTGCTTTAGGCTTGAGCATAGATGTGGGATCACAGAAAACCCACCTGGGCTGGAGGTTTCACATCATTTTATTTTCCAGACTGTAGGATAACTATTTTTTTTTAAAAATAGAATCTTAATTCTTTTGCTCAGGTTAGCCTAAAACTTTCTATGTAGTCTAGGCTAGCCTTGCATTTTCAGTGCTCCTTTTACTCCCAGATTCTTGAATGCTGGAAATTAAAGGCAGGAGCCAGCATGCTTGGCTTCACTTAATCACTTATAAGAAGAGCCCTTAGGTCTCTGCTGTGCTGGGGCATAGTTTTTCCTTCTGCATGTTCAGTTAGGCATCCTAAGATGATGACAGTCAGAGTCCTCAAGGGCATATGGAAGAATCTCAGGAGACCATCAATCCGAATCCAGATCATGGGGGCTATCATAGCCAAACTCCTTTTGTACATCCAAAGGGTACTTGCTCCACACCAACTGCCTGCTGCTGCTTTCCTCCTCGCTGAGGCTGTTGTATTCATTAGAGCCTATAAGGAGATAAGGACTTTATTCTCCATAAAATACTTGCTTGAGCCAATATATATGGAATGTACAGGTGTGGTGGTCAGATGACAATTTGTGAAAGCTGGTTCTGCTTCCATAGCAAGGGTTCTGGAGATCCAACTCATGGTGTTAGACTTGCTGGCCGGTATGTCTGGTTTTCTTCCCCACGAAAGGGTTTCTGTCTAGCTGTGGCTGTTCTGGAACTCACTTTGTAAACCAGACTAACCTTAACTCGGGTCCATCTGTCTCCCAAGTGCTGGAATTAAAGGCATGTGCTACCACGCCAAGTTCTCTTATTTATTTTTTAATGTATCTGAGTGTTTTTCATGAATGTATGTATGTATGTATGTGCATCCCATGTGGCCTGGTGCCCACAAAAGTTCGAAAAGGACGTAGGGTTCTCTGGAACAGAATGGAATGGAAATTGATGGTTGTGAGCTGCCATTGACACAACTCAAGAGAACCTAGATCTTTTCAAAGCTCTTAGACATTAAACATCTTTCCAACCCTGTTAATACTTTCTTGCTTGATGGGAATAGGGGAAAGAATGGGCTACACAATTAACCAAATGTTAAAGCTGATCCAATATTGTCTCATTTTTAGAGAGAAAATGATGTTCAAAGAAGTGAAATGACTTCCCATACATAGGCAGTAACTAGTTAAAAATTAGAACCTAGTAGTTCTGTACCCCAGTATATTATACCCCAGTAGTTGCCCTGGAAAGAGAGGGAAAGCCAGCCATTTGCAACATACCCATTAATTAATCAATTAATTAAATCTTCCCTTCAATCTTTACTCCTACCAGTCCCTCCCCATCTGGGTTGCTACCCACCTCTAGAATCTTCATCACTGCTTTCTTCATCTGGGTACTCATTGCGCCAATTATTTTCACTGTTTTCATCATCTTCTTCTTCATATGTATCTTCTGGTTGCTGATCTTCGTTCACCTGAGCATCTCAACATAAACACCAGTTTAAGTCTAAAACCTCTAAGTTACGTTCCTTATGGGAAACTACTGGCATAAGGGGGGATTAAAGTAAAGGTACAATGTAAAAATGGCAGATTCAGAGTTCATCTGACTCTGCTTTACAGGAGACTGTATAATTTTAACTCCACTCTAGCTGCAGATACCACATTCCAATATCATTAGAGGGTGATGAGTGTAAGAGGAGGTAGTGGCATTCATCTTTAGATTCTTGAAGGACTGGGTGAGGCCAAAGGTCAGAAGGTTAGGATCAGAATAAATAGTACAGGAGAGCAGGATCAGAGACCACATAGTGGTCTAAGGTGAGTGCAGCTTATCTGCAAAATTGATAATAGAGGCACCCAACGGCACCCACAGAGATCCACCTGTCTCTGCCTCCCCAGTGCTGGGATTAAAAGCCAACCACTGCCCAGCTAAACTGTTTTTAAAGCAAGATTTTTCTATTCATTCATTAATTCGTTTGTTTGATTTTCAAGACAGCATTTCTCTGTGTAGCTTTGGAGCCCAAACTGAAACTTGCTCTGTAGACCAGGCTGGGCTCGAACACACAGAAATCTGCCTGCCTCTGCCTCCTGAGTGCTGGGATTAAAGGCGTGTGTCACCACTGCCCAGCTTATTTCTAATTTTTTAAAGATTTACTTAGTGTATGAGTGCGCATGTACACTTTCATGCCAGAAGAGGGCATCAGATTCCACTATAGATGATTGTGAGCCACCATGTGATTGCTGGGAATTGAACTTGGGACCTCTGAAAGAGTAGTCATCTCTTAAGCCCAAATCTAAACATTAAAAATATAATAATAAAATGGAACTAGGATGTTAAAGAAATTTTCATTCTCCTTCTGAGACAGGGTCTTACTTATATAGGCCTGAATGACCCAGAGCATGCTCAGGATGATTTCACAGAAACCTGCCTGCCTCTGCCTTCTAAGTGCTGGGATTCAAGATATATACCAGCATGCCTTGCTATTTTTTAAAATTTAAAATGTTGCTGGGTAGTGGTGGTACATGCCTTTAATTTCAGTACTTGGGAAGCAGAGACGGGAAGTTTGAGGCCAGCCTGGTCTAATAGAGTGAGTTCCAGGGCAGGTTCCAAAGCTACAGAGAAACCCTGTCTCAAAAAACCAAAATCAAAAATAAATAAAATAATAAAAAAAATAACTGTTTCTATTCTTGGGGGATGGAGATGACTCAGCAATTAAGAGTACTTGATAATTTTTTTTTTTTTTTTTGAGACAGGGTTTCTCTGTGTGGCTTTGGCTGTCCTGGCAGTCACTCTGTAGACCAGGCTGGCCTCAAACTCAGAGATCCACCTGTCTGTCTCTACCTCCTGAGTGCTGCCACCACCTCTCAACAAAGCACTTGATTTTTTAGATGAGGACCTAGGTTCAATTCCTAGCACCTACATTACACCTTACAATTTTCTATAAGTTCACTTCCAGAAGATCTAACACACTCTTCTGGCCTCTGGGCATCAGCATGTAAATGGTTTGAAAGTGGTAGGCAGAGAGCACATAAAAGTTTTGTTTTGTGTTTTTTCTTTAAGTCAGGGTTTTCCTGTGTAACCTCCTGGCTGTCCTAGAACTTGCTCTGTAGATCAGGCATAGAGGTCCGCCTTCCTTTGCCTCTCAAGTGCTGGGATTCTCAACACTACCTCCTGACAAGTGTTTTTTGTTCTTATTCATGCTAATGTCTAGTTTTGACAATTCTGGGACTCAAACCTAGGTCCTCTTCAAAAAGACATCAAGATTCCAAGACATCTGAAGATTGATTATGAACAAAACTTTCCGAGTAGGTAGTCTGTATGTAATATATTTGCTGCATTTAACAAGGGTTTCTACAAAGGATTTAGAATAGAATTTTCCTTTTAAGCAAAAACAAGAACTAGAACAATGTTTATTAAGAGTGGATTCTAGCCAGGCAGTGGTGGCACATGCCTTTAATTCCAGCACTTGGGAGGCAGAGGCAAGTGAATCTCTCAGTTTGAGGCTAGCCTGGTCTACAAAGCAAGTTTCAAGAGAGCCAGAGCTGTTATACAAAGAAACACTGTCTTGAAAAGCCAAAGAAACAACAACAACAAAAAACTCCAAACATCAAGAGTGGAGCCCATAGCCAGGTGTCATTGGCGTTATATGTTTGTAATCCCAATATTGGGGAAGCTGAGGCAATTCAGATTGCCAAAGTCCAAGGCCTGCCTGGGCTACATAGTGATACTGTTTCAGAAAAAAAAGGGGGGACTAGAACATGGCTAATGGATAAAATACTTCTTGTACAAGCTTAAGCAGCAGAGTCTGGATATCCAGAACCTATGTAAAGCTGGGTGGGCTGGGTAGCCTGCCTGAGATCCCAGCATGGGATCAGAGATATGCACCTCTGGAGCAATCTGTTTCATTAATTTATTAGGATTGGAGAGCTCTGGCTTCAGTGAGAGACCCTACTTCAAGGAAGACACTCAATTTTAACTTTGGGTCTCTATGTGCTCCAATAAACAGGAACATGGATTCACACATTGTCCCCCACACCCAAACTTTCTAAAGGGGGACAGTGAATGAAGTCAGGAATGGTGGTACAAGTAAGTCTATATTCCCAGCATCTGTGTTTTGGAGATAGAAGGATCAGAAATTTATTTCTAGGTACATAGCAAGTTTGAGGCCAGCTTGGGCTACATGAGACCCTATCTCAACAAGGAAGGATAGCAAGATGACTTAGTGGTTAAAGGTACTTGCCACCATGCCTGATGACCTAAGGAAGTTTGATCCCAGGAGCCAACATGGTAGAAAGAACAAATTGTCCTCTGACTTCCACACATGTACCATGGCATACATACTAATTAAAATTAATTTTAAGATTTAAGAACAAACAAAACCAAAAAAGAGTAAGGTCTAGGAAGTCAAAGTACCCTGATACATTTCTTCCTCCTCTTGGACCCCTTACCAGCTCCCACTCCTGGTTGTAGGGCTGCACAGACAGGATGTCCTCAATCCATTCTAGAGGGGCCATTTCCATAGAGTAAATGTCATATACATAGTCATCATCGTGCTTTGGTTCCTTCAGGTGCTCCACTTGTGGTCCATCTTCAGAAATAGTCAGTCTCTCACGGATCAGCTCTACAGAATTGCAGAGGATCACATCTGGATCAGATGTCTACAAAGAAAACATGATAGCAATAAGAGTCAAATAATGTTCTAAGGATTGGGTAAATGAAGGCCTGTTACTGTCTTTCATGCTGTGTTCAAGATGCTTTTTATATTGTTTTGAGTGAGGCTATATTTCACTATGTAGCCCTGACTGGCAGGGAATTTGCGGTATACACCAGACAGGTCTCTGCCTCCCTACTGGGAGTGTAGGCAGTATTCCAGATTCTTAACTCCACACATGCCTTGTCTACCTGTTTCTTCAGTTTTTTTTAAATACTCTTTGCTATTATGTTCTTCCTTAGGCCCACAACAACAAAAGAAGCATTCTGCATAGTTGCTGCTTCAAGTTTCTGCCTTTCCTAAACCCTTTACTACCCTGTTACTTTTGTTCAAAACATATTGTGGCAACAGAAAGGAAACCAGGACAGTACTATAGGGTGTGCCATGATGCACATGTGGGCCCTAGGGATTGTTGAACAATCTCACCAGCCCTCAGAAAAGTTATTTTTAATGTCTGCATATATGCCCTTATATTACACAGAGTACATTGTACTGTTAAACACATATGTCCCATGTTGCAAATCTTTAAGATTATCAATCTTAATACTCCAAATCATTGTGTATGTCTATTGCTTTAAAATATTTATATGTGTGTTATGTGCATATGCCTCTTTGTCTAGATGCACACTACTTGTACACTGTGCCTGGACTGCAGACGTTACTGGATCTACCTGAAACTGCTGTTTTAAGGCGTCTTATGCCTTTTAAGGTGCTGGGAACTGAACCCAGGTCCTCATGATGAAACAGCAAGTAAGCTGCTGAGTCATCTCTATAGCCCCATGTATTATCTAGTTTTTGAATTAATTATTAGCCTTCATAAACAGTATTGAAATGAGTATATCATTTCTGCATTTGAAAAATGGTGATAATCTTGGTGAAAACAAGCCCTTACCTAATTTCACTGCCATTCCATTTAAAAAGTAGAGATGACCCTGAAAAGCACCAACACTTAACCCTATCTGAGGGCTGCATGTCAGTCAACCAATGGAAGGAAAGGAACTTGTTCTGGTCCACTGACTATAGGTACAGATTATCTTTCCTAGGAAGAACAGACACATATGAGGTTAACTGCAATGGCAGATTGTTTCCTTAGAGTGACACCTGAAGCCTATGGAATGCAGACTACCTGCAGCCCTGCCACGCCTTCTTCACAGCTGTAACTATGGTGTGCAGACTACCTACATACAGCCCTGCCACGCCTTCTTCACAGCTGTAACTATGGCGTGCAGACTACCTGCATACAGCCCTGCCACGCCTTCTTCCTTCACAGCTGTTCTGCCTCAAAGTCAGTGGTTTTCAACTTATGGGTTGTGACCTCTTTGGGGGGGTGGCACATCAGATACGCTGCATACCAGATATTTACATTACAATTCATAACAGTAACAGAATTACAGTTATGAAGTAACAACAATCTTTTTTTCTTTTTCCCAGAGTCAGGGTTTCACTGTAACCTGGCTATCCTCAAACTAGCTCTGTAGACCAGGCTTGACTCTGCCTCCTGAGTGCTGGGATCAAAGGCTTGTACCACCACTGCCTGAATGAATAGTCAATGCATGCTAATAAAACTTTTTTGAAAAAGTTAAGAACAAAATGGTGATAAAAGTATCTAATTCATAGTATTTTTGGAGATTAAACAAAATAAAGGAAAATAGAGTTTGGGATATAGTTTGGTGGAAGACCACTTGCCCCAAAAGCAATGCAAAACAAAGCCCAAACAAAAACTAAGTATATAGCACAATTTAGAAAATCAAGTTATCTTTTGTTAATACCATAGTTGTGTACTTTTGTTGAATTATTTATCTAGGTTAAATCTTAGAAGTACAATTATTAAGAAAACATACCCCCTCCCCCCAATAGGGTTTCCTTTCTGTAACAGTCCTGTGTGTCCTGGAACTCGATTTGTAGACAAGGCTGATCCTGAACTCACAGAGATCCACCTGCTTCTGCCATACAAGTACTGGAGCTAAGGGCATGTGCCACCACCACCTGGCTCCAATCTGCTTGCTGGCCTCTATAGAGGGTCTGCTCTGCTACATACTCTTCTTGCCATAGTATTCCACTACAATACAGATCCATAGCAATTGAGCAGGCTGGCCATGAACCAAACCTCTCAAGTTGTGAGCTTTAAAAACAAAAAATTCCTTTGTCAGGGCAACCAAAGTCTAACATAATCTCTAACTAATAATGTATATATTTTTTGAAAGGCCTACAATTTATTTATTTTGAGACTGGGTTTCACTGTGTAGCCCGAGCTGGTCTTGAACACAAACATCTTCATTCCTTAGTCTCCTGAGTGCTGGTATTAAAGGCCTGGACAACTTCATCAACCCCCCCCCGCCCCCACCGTGAGGAGTGTGGTGGTACATCCCTGTAATACCAGCGCTGGGGCAGCTGAAGCAAGGTGGACCGCTGTGTGCACAGGCTTGCTTGGGAAACATCACCAGTACTTAATCAGGGCCACACAGCGAAAACTCTCAAGGAAACAAACATAACAAAACCCAAACAGGCAAAATAGTGTTTTTAGAGTGGGTTATCCATCCTCAGAGTGTATGAGGTCTCTGCCTTTGGGAGCAGAACAGAGACATTCAGTACTCACTCTGCAGCAGTCTGTGGCAGCCGCCTCTGGGTCTCCCTCCTCGTGGACCAGATCCAACAACTGGAAGTCTGCATCCCCAACAGCTTCTGATACACACTGGGGCTCCAAACCACTGGAGGTCCCTGAGGAACGGTGGTTGGAGACTACCCTGTAGCGGCCCTCTTTACGGACCTCGCGAACCGAGGCGCGAAGATCGCGGCGGATACGCAGCTGGCTGCTCCGGGACGGGCGCAGGGCAGCCCGCACAAGCTGCTGGATGGGCTCCTCCTGAGGGGCGACAGGAAAAGGATGACGACCCGTGCAGTGTTCAAAGCTCCCTTCCAGAGTCCACCCCCACCTCCTACCTGGGAGCGCACGGTAGCAACCAACCGGAAGACATTACTCTCAGACGCTGTCTCCGGACCCTCCGGCGTCTCCTGAGCAGACGACTGGACCTCGCCGCTCCGGAGGCGTTTACAGGCCAGCACGAGAGCTTCTGCAGGCTCCGCGTTACGCTTCCGCTTCACGCGCAACACCGCAGTCCTGCCGGCCTCCATAGCGAGCTGTCGCGAAGCACTGTGGGAAGGCGCGAGGAGTGACGGGAGGGCCGCGCCGCGTGGAACGTCACGCCTACGCACGGAGGCCCCGCCCCCAGGTCTAGGGTGAGGCCCAATGGCCGCGGCAGTGGAGGCGAGAGGCGTGCAGCCCTCTGTGGGTGAGCTCTTGGCGGTGCTAGGGAGGTAGGGCCGTGGCAACTCCCGGGTACAGCCAGCTTTCGGACCTCATTTCTACGGCTCTGGCGCGGGGCCCTGGCGTGGGTATATTCGGGTCCCCGGGATACTTCAGGACTTTGCCGGAGTCCACGTGGAGTTGTTCAAGCACCCTGGCGGACAGGTCCGCCCAGCCCCAGCAGTCCGCTTGGGCGATCGTCCTTTCTCAAAATATGACTGAATACAGAGCAGGGTCTGGGCCACAAGACTGGTGCCTTCGGTCCCTGAACCGGTCAGCCGTTCTCTTATTCGGGATGGCTTCCTTAGTCAGTGTTGTGAGTAACTAGAAACCGTGCAGTTCCCAACACTTGCCCGCAGTAGTGCTGTAAATGTGTGTGTCCTACGCAGACATGCTTTTTATTAAAACGTTGGAGAGACCCTCAGTGTGCTTCTAAGTGTGCTTTTAGATAAACCGTGGCGACACCACAGATAAGTGTGTTTAGTATGCCGAGGAATGACCACTTGGGCACCTCTGCTCCCTCCTGTTAGCTCTGCTTGGCTCTCTTGCCTTCTCACTCGCCTTCACCTGAGGGCTGGACCCGGATGAACTTGTGAGTCGCTTTTGATCTGAAGAGCGCCAAAATTTCCAGACAGCGTTATATATCTCTATGGTTTTTTTTCTCTCTCTCCCTCTTTAAAAACGGGGTGTCACTGTGTAGTTCTGGCAGGCGTGGAACTCACAGAGAGCCTCCTGCCTCTGCCTTCTAAATGCTGGAATTAAAGGCATGCACCATCTCGTTATATTTTGTTCTTGTTTTTGTGACAAGGCCTCTGGTGTTGCCCAGGCTGGTTGGTGTCAACCTTCAGATCTTTCCACCTTGGCCTCCTGAGTGCTAGGACTCTCGACGTGCTACCATGCCTGGCTGTTACCATAGTTCTTGATGGGATATGCAGCATAGAAAATGAGATCACTCTCGCTGGAAATATTAAAATACTGAGTAGTATTTTTTGGACCTGGGGGCTGTCACTATGTAGTTCTTGCTGGCCTAGAGCTTTTCGTAAAGGCCATAATGGCTTTGAATTTAACAGAGATCCTCCTGCTTTTCTTCCCTAGAGCTGAGATTGAAGGCCTGTGCCATCATTAATAAAATTCTTAGTTGACTTTGACATTTTTGCCTGTTTCTTGATTTTTTTTTCCCCTCTTGTTTTCTTGTCCCTTGCTTTCACCATAGGCATTAGAATTGATTAGGTTTCTGATATCCAGATCTGTTCTAAGAAGAAAATTGACAAGGCCACATTTCCGTGCAAACATTGAGGAACCAGTTGGCACCATGAAGGTCTTCTGTGGCCGTGCCAACCCAACCACAGGATCCCTGGAATGGCTGGAGGAGGATGAACACTATGATTACCACCAGGAAATTGCCAGGTAACATGGGATGCTCCTCAACTGGCTGCAGGCGGCGAGGGCTCAGTGACATTAATATAGTTTTGAGGAAGATTTTGGATATTGTTTTCTGAGGAGTTGAGATGTTGAATAGGAGAATAAAACATTTGCTGAAAGCGGTGTGGGACGTGGGTTGGAGAGAAAGGGGAGTAGGTGATTACTGTAATCCTAAAGTAGAGAAGCAGTAGAGGTGAGAGGAAAAACCAGCCTGGAGGAACTTGAGTTTAATAACTCACTGTATGCAGTAAGGGAGACAAAGTTCAAGAAGGACCAAGATGTTTTCTGGTGAGAGGGACTCAGTGGACGGAGATGTCACTCCCTGAGAGGAGGGGAGGCAGTGTTCTAGAGGGAAAGGCGTTGGACATGAGGGGTTAAGGTTTGGACATTCAGATGGGAATGCTAGTAGAGTCTTGAGACACAGAATTTGTAGAACTTGAGAAAGTTGAAATTGAGAGACATTGCAGCATCTCAACAAAGGAGGGTCTGGAATGTAAAATCAGGATAAACTGAGGAGGCAGAAGCAGAACCAGAAGGAAAGTTAGGATGGAAAGAAAAGGGAAGTTTAGGGAAGAAGAAGTGGCTGTTAGGGTCAGGCTGCCAAGAAAGCCTGAGTACTGCTGATCATTAGCAACAGCAGTGTGAGTGGCTGGAAAAGCCAGGAAGCTAGTGAGTGGATGTGTCTTTAAAAAGTAGGCAGGGAGCTGCAGAGATGGCTCAGCAGGGAAGAGGGTGGGCAGTTCAACCTCTTGTAACTAGCTCTGGAGGATCTGATGCTGCCTTCTGGACTCTGGGTACTTGGCACTCACAGGTACATGTATCCACACACAGATAGACTCACATATATAAATATATATATATATAATTAAAAATGAAACAACCTGGCTTTTTTGTATTTTATTTATTTATTTTTAAGTATTTATTTATTTTATTTATTTATTATGTATACAATATTCTTTCTGCATGTATGCCTGAAGGCCAGAAGAGGGCACCAGACCTCATTACAGATGGTTGTGAGCCACCATGTGGCTGCTGGGAATTGAACTCAGGACCTTTGGAAGAGCAGGCAATGCTCTTAACCTCTGAGCCATCTTCTCCAGCCCTTTATTTATTTTTTTAAAGATTTATTTATGTGTTTTATGTATATGAGTACTCTATTTGCATGTATTTCTGCATGACAGAAGAGAACATCAGACAGAACAGGATATCGGGATCCCATTACAGATGGCTGTGAGCCACCATGTGGTTGCTGGGAATTGAATTCAGGACCTCTGGGAGAGCAGTTAGTGCTCTTAACCTCTGAGCCATCTCTCCAGCCCCAAGATTTTATTTATTTTTGAGACAGGATCTTACTATGTGTCCTTGGTATGTAGACCAGGTTGGCCTTGAACTCACAGAAATCTACCTGTTTCTGCTTCCTAAGTGCTAGGGTTAAAGGCAAGTGCCACTCCATCTGGCTCTTAATTTTATGCATGTGCCTGAATGTTTATGCACCACATGTGTACAGTGCCCGCAGAGGTCAGAAGAGGGTGTTGGATCCCCTGGTACTAGAGTTAGATAGTTGTGAGCCACCATATGGGTGCTGGGAATCAAACCTCGATTCTTTGCAAAAACAAGTGCTCTTAACTGCTGAGTCATTTCTCTAGCCCCCAGAATCCACATTAAAGTCAAACAAATGGGTGTGGTGATGTCTGCTTGTAATCTCAGCTCTGCAGAAGTGGAGGGAGACAGGAGGATCCCTGGGAGTTGCGGATCAGCTAGTCTATTCTAGTTGATAAACTAGGCCAGTGAGAGACCTTGACTCAAAGGAGGGGCATAGTATAAATGAGGATAGCTGGAGATTTTCCTCCAGTTTCCACATGCTTATACAGACGTGTGCTTGTGCACACATACACATATGAATGTGCCCACAACATACAAAGTGAATAGGGAGCACATTTTCAGCAGTATGTGAATTTATCTTAGGTTGAAATCCCAATTAGCGCCAAATAAATATATTTTTCTTTATTTTTGGCTTGGTTGGTTTTATTCTCGGTCAGAAATAGCAAAACATTGAAAATAGCATAGATGTCTGTCAACATTGTTAGGCAAACCTGTGGCTTATGTTTATAGCAAAAAACAGTGCGACGGGGAAGACAGAAACGAAGTTCTTCATTTTCATTTCATCCTCCACTGGTAGAGGGAGGATTTTTTATTTTATATGAAAATGCAAATGTAGAATTATACTGCTTTTGTGTCAGAAATAAGGTGTTGCTTGTTTTTCATAAAAAGCACTGGAAGAGGAAATGGAAATTGATGAAATTTCCATCTGTAGACAATGCAGATGGGACTGGGTGGGTGTTTGTCATGTTTGGTTTTAATGTTAACTTGCCACAATTATAATTGACTCACCTGAGTAGGAAGCTGCTCCTGAAGGATTTTCCCTCTTGTCTTGATGAGGTAGGAAGGTGCACCCTGATTGCGAATGGTACCTTTTGGTAGCACCCAGATGAAAAAGGGTATTTCAGTCGAACATTGGTGGTGCACACTTTTAATCCCAGCACTTGGGAAGCTACAGAGAAACCGAAACAAAAAGGGTATTTCAGAAGGAAGTTCACCTATTTACTTGCTTGGTCTTTTATCTTGCCAGCGAGTCAGTTGCTCTGCTGCTGCTGCTTCCTTCTCTGATAGCAGATGATAGAGGCAGAGTTTCAGTGGAGTAGAAACCAGCCACTCTTCCAGCAACTTTCTGGGCTCCAGGTGCCAGACTGGGACTACTGGGGCACCCCACCTTGTGGATTAAGTAACTACTGGTTGTAGCCCCCAGTGAGTGGTAGCTATTCTGGGACTACTCTAACTTTTGAGACATCCAACTTTAAGGACCAGGTAACTACTGGTTCTCAACATCTCAGGTGTGACTTAGCTGGTGTTACTATTTTAAAGCTCACTCACTTAATGAATTTTTATTCGGGGGGTGGGGAGATGGTGTGTGTAGAAGATTGTATTCCAGTGCACACTTACAAACCTTTAGATTGCATATGTGCATCTGGAGCCAGTCAGTTTTATTGCCCAACTCATTTTCGTCTTTTGTATCTTTGTCCAAAGATGCTTAAAGGAAGGAACCAGCATCACTATTTTTATTTTGTCACAAATGTTCAAAGGTTTTATGCACAGAGTCACTAAATTCCCTATACCTCACAAGAGGAGAATCGGGAATCAAATGCATTTATCTCGATAAGTTCTTTTAATAGTGCATACCATGGGTTTTCAGTGCTCCCAGACTGTCTGAGGGACTTTTTTGTTTGTTTTTAAGACAGGATTTCTCTTTGTAGCCCTGGCTGTCCTGGCACTTGCTCTGTATTCCAGACTGGCCTCAAACTCAGAGTCTGCCTGCCTCTGCCTCCTAAGTTCTGGGGATTAAAGGTGTGTATCACCATACCCAGCTATCTGAGGAGTTTT